TATTTATAATGCTTATGTTTTATATTCCAAATTGCCTACTTCACAAAAGCAATCGATTGTGAATTTTCGATTGAATATTGCAGAAGACATGCTTTGTAATTTGTCCCTGCCGGACTATCCGACACGCGGCAGACGGTCGCAAAGTGAATGCCCAACTCGGTTACAAGCAAAATATTGGACACATTTTCCTGAACATATACCCGCGACAAATAAAAAGCAACATCCTGCAAAAAGATGCCATGTTTGCGTAAAACATAATATAAGAAGTGAAACAATTTGGCAGTGTAAAATATGCCTCGTTCCGCTACATATTACTAAATGCTTTGAGATGTATCACACATTACAAAATTATTAAATTACTATTTTATACTATTACTTAATTGTTGTACACTAACAATATACTTCAACCCTATTGAATGTTATATAGGAATGTAACTTTAAAAAGAAAAGGCCCTGTTTCTGAGCTTGTACATGAGTATCCAGTTGAGCCAAATTAAATAGTATTCGTCGATGCACATTTTATTCGTATGTCAAGTGGTTAATAACATTTTTACTTTAGTTTTCTGCGACGAGCCTTCCATCGCTCGAAGGAAATTTTCTCCTAATTGATGTTTAGAACATGAACAGCGGATTTTGTTAATTTATGGCAAAAATCAGTAGTTGAAGACAGCAGAAACACTGGAAGAATCGACGAACACTGTTATGGTATTCTTGATTCAGTGGAATCATTAAATTTAAATTTCTATTTTAAAAATCTATTATAATAATGAATTAAAGCTATTACACACTTTGGATATAATGTATGTAAAATATAAAATATAGGAAATATAAAATATATAAAATATAATAAATATGTATAAACTGAATATATAATGTATAGTAGAAGATAATAGTATTATCTATGTATATGTATAACGTAATATCGATCCCAGGAGAAAATCTTTTCTGGAAAAAATCTTCTCTAGAAATATTGTTTCCTTCGAAAAATCTCGCCGATTCAAGCGGGATTAACATGAACGTCAGCTTCGAAGGTTGTCCGGCGACTAAATACCCAGATTGCATCGCTTAGAATGATATGCAACATAAATTAGACAAGACTAATCGCATGTTATTAGACATTGACAGACACCATGAGTCAACTTTATTATAATCGCCGCAGAAACAAGGCTGCAGGTACTCCGGCATTCGACCAGGTCTGTATCGCTGGTCGTATACATCTCGCAAGTAGCAAGTTGTAATTATGGCGCGAGTTGGGTGAACATAACGGTAGAGTACCGATTCTTTTCTCTATTTTTCCGAGCCGGCGCGACGTCAGAGAATGAGTACGCGC